CCTTCCTTCCTTCCTTCCTTCCTTCCTTCCTTCCTTCTGAATGGCAATAGCAACAGCACTTAGACTTATATATCACTTTATAGTGCTTTTGCAGCCCTCTCAGAGCATTTTACAGAGTCAGCCTATTTCCCCCAACAATCTGGGTCCTCCTTTTACCAACCTCGGAAGGATGGAAGGCTGAGTTCATCCTTGAGCCTGGTGAGATTTGAACTGCCAAATTGCAGGCACCCGGCAGTTGGCAGAAGTAGCCTGCAGTACTGCACTCTAACCACTGCGCCACCTCAACTCCATCCATCCTTTCTTTATCCCTTTCTTCAAGAACTCAGGATGATGCACAGAGTACTTTCTCCTCCAATTTTATTCTACAGTAACAAACCTGTGAGGCATCTTAGCTAAGAAAGAATATCTTTGTTCCGCAGCATACTTTAGTTGCTTATTGAATTGACCCATTTTCTTGATTTGCCCAGGCAATTAAACTAGGAAACCAAAGAGACTGCCCAACATATTAAGACATTTAAAAGGCTAACAAGGAACTACTTTAGCAAGCATGAATGCAACTGATCCAATTTGTTTAAGCATGACGTGGGAGTGCAGCCACTGGCCATTTCAGAGTTAACCAGTCAGCTGTTCTTAAATCTGGGTGTCCCCGACTTTTTCCAACATCTAGCCATTGCCTCTTTGCCACACTTTGAATGCACAGGGTAAAGAACATATGACAAATTCCATGCCACAGATGCCTCTCCTTCATGGGAATCTATGGAGCATAATAGCCCATTTGGCTGGAGTATAGTTTCACATTTATGCATATTCTCCGTCCAGATGTGCCAAGACGGCAGCAGATGTGAATTCTGGAAGCTGGAGATCCTTCCGGAAAGGATCATTTGGGGCAAAGGCCACTCTAAAAAGACACCCTCATCTTTGGAGATTACAAAATGCATGTTCTTAATAACCCTTTGAATAACTTGATGGCAGAATCATTCTCTTGCAGTCTTTATATTGCAAATGAAGGGGATGAGAGGTAGCTATCTGAGCCCATTGCACAAGACTACGGCAGAGAAAAGGAAGTCCAGCAGCAGGCAGCTGCATGAACTCAGCAATGGGCTTTGGCCAAATCATGCTGGGCTCAATCTGATACAAGTCTATATCAGAGGGAGGCCTGCTGGAATCCATGGAAGTTGTTTGAAAGAAATTGACTCTAGGAGTGCAATCTTCCTCATTTTTGTAACATATCTGGGCTTGTGCTTTCTGTGTTGGCGATGGAGGGAATTGAATCTGCCTTAATCTTTTGATAGCATGTGATTTGAAAAAGCATAAATCAGATGACTCACTGACTCCCTGCATTTCTTAACCTGGGATACTAAATCAGCCCATTTTCCTGAATTTGTAAATGCATGGAGCCATATAGAGTGATATAAGCAGAGCTCTTCCCCCCCTCCTCCCCTCCCCACCTCCATTACCAAGCTTAGCATGTTGAACCAATGCAGCTGCAAGGACTATTACCGCCTTAACCTGATGAAGGGTGCTGTGTGATACTGAAAAACTTAGAAAAAGTCCAATGACTCTCTAACTGCCTGGTGTTGAGAGGTGGCGCAGTGGTTAAATGCAGCACTGCAGGCTACTGCTAGATCAGCAGTTCAGCGGTTCAAATCTCACCGGCTCAGGGTTGACTCAGCCTTCCATCCTTCCGAGGTGGGTAAAATGAGGACCCAGATTGTTGGGGGCAATATGCTGACTCTCTGTAAACCGCTTAGAGAGGGCTGAAAGCCCTATGAAGCGGTATATAAGTCTACTGCTATTGCTATTGCTATTGGTGTTGACTAGAAGGCATAATATTCCCTGAGAAATGTGGAGTTGGTGAAATAAACTTGGATGCAAAGTGATAACACTGCTGCGGAGCTTCCACAGTGATGGCACAGAAGTTTACCTCTTCGTGGTTTAATTAGAATTTGTGTTGCCTAGCAAGGTCAGAGCATTCTGCAAATAATCTGATCTTTCTTCTGCCTGGAAGGAAGCCCACTGTACTTTTAATAGTCAGAATCTCCAGTTTGGGGTCATCTTTAATTTTCCTTCTTAAAATACCTACAGTCTAAATTTGGTTACTGGTACACTAGGTCAGAAGCTAATAAGTACAGACACAGCTCCAAAACTTTGCCAGACTGTTCTTTCTCCAAGTGACTTTTCACTTAGCCTCAATGTTCAACAAGCAGAATGGGAATAATCGTGAAATAGTCTGCATGACCCTTCTGAGAGAGCATAGAGAACAAAGACTTGAGCACACTTTAGATCTGTATATTGCATTTGCACAAATACATACATTACTATACTGTAGCCTCTGTCAGTTTTCTTAATGACTACAAGAGTTACTCTAAGAATTAATACTATTTTCTGAGCCCGACAAATCCAGACAGGGGAAAGTTTCTGCTTACTAATCATACATGGATAATGTAATGTAATAAACATACTTTCTCCTCCTAGAGAACACTTTTTATCAACCCACAAAGCAATTAAACAAGCTGCTCAGCAGAGAAAGCAATCCGATACTCACGTTTCAAGATATTTCGTCTCTCGAGCTCCTCAACAGCTGGTCTTTGGCTCAATCGTCTGCGAAAGAAAATCAAGATGACGTTTTGTACCATTGTCTCTTTGAATTTGATTTGTCAGATCGTCTTCTTTCTTTCTTTTCTTTTCTTTTTTTTTCAGTTGCTCAAGTCCAGTTCGTTCTGAGACCAATCAGAGTTGGCGTTGAAGAGTTTAGGTCATGAGCCGGAATCAAAGGCACTCAATCTGCCCTTAGAAAACTTTCTGTTTTATCCCCCAAAATAAGAAAAGAAAAGTTCTTGGCTAAACAGAGGAGAGCTATTTCTGTAGTTGGCTTCACTGACCCATATATTTCCCTGACTCTTGGCAGGAAAAGAAAAAAACCTGGGAATAGGGCATCAAGCATCAGGAGGAACTTCTATTCATCTTTCCTTTTTTTTTTAAATGAAAAGGAATAAAAACACACTGTCTGCAGTGGGTTGTTTCCTGATTTAGTTATCACCAGTGAGATATGTCAGGAAAAGCATTGCTCTTTGGCAGGAGATAATTCGGATTGTGTGAGCAGGTGGTTCCTTGATCAAAAATGTGACAGCGGTGCCTGCTAACGGGCTGCATATAACAGCTGCGCCTGTGAGTGTGTGTGTGTGTGTAGCAGCACACAGCCTCACAAAGCATCTACTTGTAATGTTTGTAATGCCTCCCCTTTTACGAGAGCCTCCGGATTGCCTCTGTGGGATCAGGTGATCACAGCCATTGTGATTGGATCCTGCATCCCCCAATGAGACTCCAACCCTCTGCCCTCCCCCAATCCCAGAGATATGCTCTGTAATATCTAATCTGTAATCTCACAAGACCGTCTTCTGTCCCGGGAGAGGCTTTTCTGGGGGGTTAACGGGTAGGGGTTTTAACTGCAGCCTGTGAAACGCTAAATACATAACAGTGAACAATGGCACAGATGAGAAGAGAAACACAGAGGGAAGGAAGCAAAGAAAGAAGGCATGGAATTGACCAAAAGCTGAGCTTGCTCTGTGCCAAAAAAAAATAAGGACATTGGTTTTCAGGGCAAATGGATGAAATCTTTCCTTATCCGATAAGCAAACAAGCTTTGCTAATGCTGATGAAACAAAAGGGGAAGTTGGAAGGTTTACTACAGGTAAAGGTTCCCCTCACACATATGTGCTAGTCCTGTGCTGGCAAAACTATGGCACATGAGCCCAAAGTGGCACACGGAACCGTGTCCCCTGGCATGCATGGTGTCGCTTGTTCCTGTTCCGGGTTTGTGGCGTGCATGCACATGCAATGATCAGCTGGCCTTTGCCCGCGCAGCAATGCTGGAAACTTCCGTTTTCTGGTGTAAGCATGCGGGCTGGTCAGCTGATCGGTGCACATTTCTGGAGAACGGAAATATTCTTCTTCCTGATCACGGTCCAGATGACGAAAAGTGTTTCCTTTTCTGCACTCGTTGCCACCCATGCATGTCCTGCCTGTTCGGCACTCGGTGCCGAAAAGGTTCGCCATCACTGGGCTAGGCATTCCCAACAAGTAATGGGAGCTCACTCCATTACGTGGCGCTAAGGATTCGAACTGCCAACAAGCTCAGCATCTTAGCCATCGCGTCCCACACTGGAAGAGTTACTAGATGCGCACAAAATGATCAAGTGTGAATGGCAAAACAGAGGGAAGGGTGGGCCCAAAAGAGAGGGAGGAAAAAGATTGTATTTCTACAGCATTTCAAATGAAATATTGGAGAAATAATATGAATGAATAGTACACAAAACAAAACATTATCTTTTTATCACAGTCTATGTAGTTAAGACAGAGATCCACTCCTACTGGAAGAGAGTAGCCATTTTGTAGATTTTTTCTTCCCGGATGTCCCTGATCCACAAGGGAGTTGGGAGATTCCCACCCAGAGCAGTGTGTGAGTTAGTTAAAGGATGATGGGATCAAGGCATTAGAGAATCCTTTGTACCTTCAATGTGAAGCTTCTGGATCTCAATTCTGTTCTTTGAACAGAAAGAGGCGACCTGCAATCAACCCATCATTTGAAGATTAAGTGATATAGGGATTTATTTCTAAATATATTGTATCAATCCCTGCCCCTGCCCCCCTCTGTGTGTGTGTGTTTGTGTGTGTGTGAGAGAGAGAGAGAAAGAGAGAGAGAGACAGAGCGAGACAGAGAGAGAGAGAGAGAGACAAAGACAGAGAGAGACAGAGATGGAGAGAGGGAGTCAAGCTTATTGGACTTCTATGGCCATCTATCTCAAACAGTGATGGCTCACTATACAAGTAGTCCCCAACTTACGATCACAATTGAACCCAACACTTGGGTTGCTAAACAAGACAGTTATTAGGTGACTTTTGCGCCATTTTTTACCTTCCTTGCCAAATTTTTTAAGTAAATCACTGCAATTGTTAAGTTAGCAAAACGGTTGTTAAGTGAGTCTGGCTTTCCCATTGACGTCCCTTGTCAGAAGCTTGCAAAAGGTGATCTCATGACCCCAGGGATATTGCAACTCTCATAAATATGAGCCAGTTGTCAAGCGTCTAACTTTTGATCACATGACCATGGGTTGCTGCCATGGTCGTTAAGTGTGAAAATCGGTCATAAGCCACTTTTTTCAGTGCCGTTGAAACTCCAAATGGCTACTAAATGAACAGTTGTAAATCAAGGAATGCTTGTAATCCATAAAACAGTTAAAAACCCAGCCCTCTATCCTAGCCCAATGTGTGATCTATCCTGAAGATCAGCAATTCAACACAAGAAAGTTTGGACCAAGTCTTCCCCAATTTGGAATTTATGTGCCCTCAGAGAGTTGTGGCATGCGTGGCATAGGTTCACCATCACAGATAGTGTATTCATGTATTCCATAGTAGATTTTATATATGTATGTATGAATGTATGTATGTATGTGTGTGTTGTGTGTGTGTGTTTGTAGATTTTTATGGGTGTAGGTATGCTGGTTTTATTGTATTCGGGTCTTTTCCCATGTAAGATTGAGATTGTCTTGGCAACGGTATCACTTGCCATCCTCAAGCTGGTGTTTTCAACTTAAAGCGTGGTCAGAGCTGCCGTCTTTCTATAAATCTTGGTGGGGATGTGTGGAGTGCTGGCGTTATTTTAGTAAGTGGATTGATTGGCTGTGTGGCTGTATCATGATTGGTTGATTGGTGCTGATTGGTGCTGGCTGTGTGTCCATTGTTGTTTTGTGTTGTAATCGCCTGGGTGGTGAGTGGGGCTCGTTTGTTTAGCAGGGCTGGGCTTTTGGTCTTCTCTGAGCTTGTTTGTTTTCATGCAGAAGCTTTTTTAACAGGCTAGGTTATTACATTACATTAGTGTAATTTGGGGGGGGGGCATGTCATTTACTTATTTTTAGTTTGTCTTTAGTAGCAAACATACCTAATTAAGGAAATTAAGAGGATTAATTGATCAATGAACTAATTAAGGGAACTAAGCCTTGCAAGTACATTCCCATCTTTACTTTGACATTTAACTGCAAAATTTTCAGGTGCCCCATGAGTGTAAATGTTGTTCATGTGCTACAGGTGGTTCACCTCTACTCAAAAGAGCAATTTCCCATCATCCATTATAAGGAAAGTTCCCAAACACATCTTCATTTTCTATGCTTTCTGATTTATTATACTGTAGCTTATAAGTTGCCCTTGGAAGAGGTAAGGAATATTGAGTGACTCCAGTTTTCTTTCTGTATTTCTATAGTGCAGTTGATCAGGCCTCTCTACCGTGTTTTTCAACGTGTGCTGAAGTATTGTTCTAGATACAATTACTACCTCTATTTAAACGAATCGTTCCTTAAAAGAGAAATGCTTCCCTCTGCAAAATTACTCCGCCATTTTGCATTGCCCGGTCTTGCGTTGCCTTGTCACTGCTTCTCTTGCACTTGGTTTCTTATGCTAGTGGATCTGTGTTGACCACCAGGTAGTGCAAATGATATTTTATGCACTTCTGTTCTGACACCTAGCGACCATCTGGAGTTTTGCAATTTGGGCCTGATGTCCCCAGTTTACCATTCAATTCTATAAAGTGATTTATGCTTTAACTAAAATGTACTTTCTCAGAAAGAAATGAACTTCTTTCTGACATTTGTTTAAAATATATATTTAATGTATGTTTAATACATGTGTAAATATGTGTGCATGTGTTAGTGTAAGTATATATGCATGTATATGTATACATATATCGGTATATATATATATATACATATATATATGTGTGTGTGTGTGTGTGTGTGTGTGTGTGTGTGTGTGTTTATATATACATATACATATACATCATATAC